ATATTCATGAGCTGAATATCCTACCAGACCATATCATGAAAGTGTTGAGCAAATGCAGGGTGACAGCGTCTGATATTTGAATCCAGCCAAGCCCCTGAAGGTGTGTTTTCCACCTTCAGAGAGTATGGAGAGAAAAGAGTACAAATTCCTTCAGACTGAGACATGCTCTCACATACTCTTTACACATTATTAATGCACTCTTATGCTCTCAGCTCAGCCTGCTCATCTCATCTCTACAAGCAAGTAAGCAACAGAGGCAAGACAGATATGAACAACAACAAAAAAGAACACAGCATCAAGAAGAAGCAACCTTCCAGTCCAGTACTGCTTCTGTGACACGATGACATCATCAAGATTTCAGCATCATTGATGCTACCCTGGGACAACAGTAACAGGCTTTAAGAATGTAATTTATGAAATAGAACTGAAAGCTATTCTCATACGTGACATTCTTCTTTTGCATGCTTTATAAATCCGTTTGTGAAAGGACCACACAAAGGAACAAATCTAGCACTGCTCATAACCAACCAGCAGGTACAAAACACTCTAAAGGCTTTATCTAGAATCCAATTTGTGGTCATGGGGTAACTTGAGTTAACCAGCATGACTGTAAGATGAGCCCTAGAGTAAAGAAGTGACTTGGAATAAATGGTTGTGGAGTGTCTAGATTAGCATTCACAATTGTGGTAATTAATCAATCGAGGTAACAAGTTATAACAGGACCACAAAGCCATAAATAGCAGAATTGGTGCAGTGATTCTGGAGGAGGAAGTGGAAGGAAACACAGGTTATTGGGAATCATAGAATAGAATATCAGGGTTGGAAGTGACCTCAGGAGGTCATCTAGTCCAACCCCCTGCTCAAAGCAGGACCAATCCCCAACTAAATCATCCCAGCCAGGGCTTTGTCAAACCTGACCTTAAAAACCTCTAAGGAAGGAGATTCCACCACCTCCCTAGGTAACCCATTCCAGTGCTTCACCACCCTCCTAGTGAAAAAGTTTTTCCTAATATCCAACCTAAACCTCCCCCACTGCAACTTGAAACCATTACTCCTTGTTCTATCATCTACTACTACTGAGAACAGTCTAGATCCATCCTCTTTGGAACCCCCTTTCAGGTAGTTGAAAGCAGCTATCAAAATCCCCCCTCATTCTTCTCTTCTGCAGACTAAATAATCCCAGTTCCCTCAGCCTCTCCTCATAAGTCATGTGCTCCAGCCCCCTAATCATTTTCATTGCCCTCTGCTGGATTCTCTCCAATTTATCCACATCCTTCTTGTAGTGTGGGGCCCAAAACTGGACACAGTACTCCAGATGAGGCCTCACCAATGACGAATAGAGGGGAATAATCACATCCCTCAATCTGCTGGCAATGCTCCTACTTATACAGCCCAAAATGCTGTTAGCCTTCTTGGCAACAAGGGCACACTGTTGCCTCATATCCAGCTTCTCGTCCACTGTAACCCCTAGGTCCTTTTCTGCAGAACTGCTGCCTAGCCACTCGGTCCTTAGTCTGTAGCAGGGCATGGGATTCTTCCATCCTAAGTGCAGGACTCTGCACTTGTCCTTGTTGAACCTCATCAGATTTCTTTTGGCCCAATCCTCCAATTTGTCTAGGTCCCTCTGTAGCCTATCCCTACCCTCCACTGTATTTATCACTCCTCCCAGTTGAGTGTCATCTGCAAACTTGCTGAGGGTGCAATCCACGCCATCCTCCAGATCATTAATGAAGATATTGAACAAAACCGGCTCCAGGACCGACCCTTGGGGCACTCCGCTTGATACCGGCTGCCAACTAGACATGGAGCCATTGATCACTACCCATTGAGCCCAATGTTCTAGCCAGCTTTCTATCCACCTTATAGTCCATTCATCCAGCCCATACTTCAACTTGCTGGCAAGAATACTGTGGGAGACGGTATCAAAAGCTTTGCTAAAGTCAAGGAATAACACATCCACTGCTTTCCCCTCATCCACAGAGCCAGTTATCTCGTCATAGAAGGCAATTAGGTTAGTCAGGCATGACTTGTCCTTGGTGAATCCATGCTGACTGTTCCTGATTACTTTCCTCTCCTCTAAGTGTTTCTAAATGGATTCCTTGAGGACCTGGCTCCATGATTTTTCCAGGGACTGAGGTGAGGCTGACTGGCCTGTAGTTCCCCAGATCTTCTTTATTCCCTTTTTAAAAGATGGGCACTACATTAGCCTTTTTCCAGTCATCCGGGACCTCCCCCAATCGCCATGAGTTTTCAAAGATAATGGCCAATGGCTCTGCAATCACATCAGCCAACTCCTTTAGCACCCTTGGAGTGCCGTGCATCCGGCCCCAGGGACTTGTGCTCGTCCAGCTTTTCTAAATAGTCCTGAACCACTTCTTTCTCCACAGAGGGCTGGTCACCTCCTCCCCATACTATGCTGCCCAGTGCAGTAGTCTGGGAGCTGACCTTGTTTGTAAGATAGAGGCAAAAAAAGCATTCAGTACATTAGCTTTTTCCACATCCTCTGTCACTAGGTTGCCTCCCTCATTCAGTAAGGGGCCCACACTTTCCTTGACCTTCTTCTTGTTGCTAACATACCTGAAGAAACCCTTCTTGTTACTCTTAACATCCCTTGCTAGCTGCAACTCCAAGTGTGATTTGGCCTTCCTGATTTCGCACCTGCATGCCTGAGCAATATTTGTATTCTTTTCCCTGGTTATTTGTCCAATCTTCCACTTCTTGTAAGCTTCTTTTTTGTGTTTAAGATCAGCAAAGATTTCACTGTTAAGCCAAGCTGGTCACCTGCCATATTTGCTATTCTTTCTACATATCAGGATGGTTTGTTCCTGCAACCCCAATAAGGATTCTTTAAAATACAGCCAGCTCTCCTGGACCCCTTTGCCCTTCATGTTATTCTCCCAGGGGATCCTGCCCATCAGTTCCCTGAGGGAATCAAAGTCTGCTTTTCTGAAGTCTAAGGTCCGTATTCTGCTGCTCTCCTGTCTTCCTTGTGTCAGGATCCTGAACTTGACCATCTTATGGTCACTGCCTCCCAGGTTCCCATCCACTTTTGCTTCCCCTACTAATTCTTCCCTGTTTCTGAGCAGCAGGTCAAGAAGAGCTCTGCCCCTAGTTGGTTCCTCCAGCACTTGCACCAGGAAATTGTCCCCTACACTTTCCAAAAACTTCCTGGATTGTCTGTGTACTGCTGTATTGCTCTCCCAACAGATATTGGGGTGACTGAAGTCCCCCATGGGAACCAGGGCCTGTGATCTAGTAACTTCTGTTAGTTGCCTGAAGAAAGCCTCATCCACCTCATCCCCCTGGTCTATAGCAGACTCCCACCACGGCATCACCCTTGTTGCTCACACTTCTAAACTTAATCCAGAGACTCTCAGGTTTTTCTGCAGTTTCATACTGGAGCTCTGAGCAGTTATTCTGGGAGATGTGGGAGGCCACATCTCTTGTGCATGCCAGAATAGTTCTCTGCTGGGATTCCTCTACCCCAGCACCTGGAGGTCTCTTGGGACGTAGGTAGGATCAGTGGATTCACAACTACACAGGCTCAACAGCCCAGCCCCTCCCTTTTAATGCAGATTTCAATAGCCACAGACTACGATAGCTCTGAAGCTGTAGGAGCAGTCTCAGAATGGCTACACTGCTATGCTGCAGACTGGGGATAAGGAAGAGTTAAAAGTCCCTTGACTACAGAAGTCCTAGCGTATAGTCTGCTCTCAACTCAAGCTCCAGCTATTTGGCCTGAGGTTCTCCCTCTTTATTTTCAATGAGCTTTTCATTAGTCCACAAAAAATAACTTTGGGACAGTTGAAAGTAAAAGGGCAGTTGCAGGGCTAGTGGGCTCCCTCACCATCCCATGAAAAACAATGCCATGCCCAAGTAACTTTCAGGTCCTTCCCTCTGGGCACTGTTTATCAACTCAGATACAGAACTTAAGCAAAACATCACAACAAAGCACGGGCTACAGTTTCCAGAGGCTTTCTCCCTTTGCCTCTGTCAGTGCTGAGAAGAGGACATGCCTTCCCTTTAATCCCTCCTGCTTCAGGGCCTACTGCAGGCACCCATGTCCCTTCTGCAGCTCTCTCATCTCTCTATAGAAAACACCTGACATCCTCCCGGCTGAGTCTGAAAAGGGCTGCTGGTACCAGGACCTTAAAGGGACAAACCATCCTGTTACAGCATTCCACTAAGCTAACACTGTTCCTAGCACGGCAACACAGGCATCTTTGCAAAGTCTCCTCTGAATGCCCAACATCGCATTCATTTTTAAAACAAGTTTTAGAACAATAGTTATGCCTCATGACCCATGACCCTTCTCCCCCAGCCTGGTCCTGAAGTTCTCCGGGTGCTGTTCAACAGGATATATAAAAACATTTGAATATTATCATAAAACCACCTTTGTGAACTTTTATACAAAAATCCCAAACCATGGCGCATAACAGATAAAGGGATGGGAGAACACTGGGAAGCGGGAGTAATCAACACGGGTCATTCTAAAACCAATTTGAGAAAAAAAAACATTGTTTAGGTGCTGTTCTGAAGTGGCATGATGGCCACTCTGTATTTCAGACAATGAGGAGGGTTCATATCCTAGAGCCTGCAAAAGCATGCTCACTTGCTGACATAATACATGAGGGTGAGATCCATAAAAGGCCGGTAGGCAAGGCCAGATAAGCAATAGGACAAAGCTGAAAGTTCAGACCTACCCCAATATGTTTTAATTACAGCCCCAAAGACAGCTCTAAGTATAAAGTAGCTATTACTGGCTGATAAGAAAAACACACCATAGCGGGTATTTTCCTTTTCCTTATAGATATCCTTACAACATGGTCGCTTCCCCTCCCCCGTTTAGATAAAATTAAAAAAAAAAACTGCATGCCTTGACATCTCTAAAACAGATTAGCACATTTCTTACTCGTCACATGTCTCTTTCACAGCTAGAATCAGCTTTGTAGCCTCCAGCACTGAAAAGTCTAAATGTCTAAAAATAAGAATTTACTTACTGAGCATTAGAAATACAATCATAATTTGATGTCTGATATCGAGTATTTCCTTCCTTCTGACTGCCAGCCTTTAAATAGCAGGATCTAATTTCCCCTTTAAAAACATAAAAGTATCAGTTAAGTGATGTAAATTATTTATTTACACCTACAATTTAGTAGCAATCTGGTTTTCTCGGTCAAAAAAAAGTATCTGTAAACCAAATGTTCTAACTGCTTCTTTATATTTATGATTGGCAGTGTGGACGTGTTTTAAAACATCATAGAACAAACACATGTTAAAATAAACACTGGAAAACCGGAGACAAAGCCACAAAAATACAGATATTAAGGGCAAAATTCTGTTCCCTGTTGTAAGAGCAGAGTAAGAGAGCTCTGTGCAAATGAAGAAATGGACTCCTGCCCCAATCTAAACATAGGGGGGCCTGATCTGACAGTACCTTAAATACTGTGTAGCCATTCATAGGTGTGCAAGGTAACTGTAAAACATTACCAGAAGTGTAAAAGAGTGAAGCATTCTGATTTGTTCATGTTTGCAGAAGTGTAGATGACAGGTACATGGCAGTGGAGAATTAGACGAAAGGTGGGTAGCCACGGTCTACTGCTTGTCCCATCCCCACCGCCTACCTATCATACACACAGGGCAGTGATCCTCCAGTGAATAAGCACACTACTCCCCTGACCTGTTCACAGCTACCCTCCCATGCACATGCGGAACAAGGGTCCACAGCATGCAAGAGGCTGCAGTGGTGCTACACAGGAGTGGAAGGGGAGAAAGGACAGGATCCCAGGAGCCATGAAACCCAGCTACATGGGAGCTTCTTTTGTGCTTCTTGGAAGGGCGAGTTGATGTGAGCCTAAGTGACTTGTGGATCTGCTACTACAGAAATGCACTTGGCCAGTACCCACAAGGCAGATGGCATTGGAACACAACAGCCAGTAGAACTATTTCAGCCCAAAGCCTAGAGTAGCTGTGGAGTGGCCCTACTGTTCGGTGTGGCCTGTAGTCCCCAGGGAGTTCCCTACACCAAAGTCAGGTACTGATGGGGAAAGGAGTCCATTCAATATCCTGGAGCGGGTAGCAGACCAACATTCTGAATGAAGGCAGCCCCATTATGATGGGAGATGGCTGCCATCTAAACCATCACCTATTCACACTCAGCTTAAAGATCTGACAGCAAGGGATAGGAACCTTTTGGCCAAGCACATTGGCGCAATTCCCTACTCAGACAAGAAGTTCTATGGGATCTTCAGCATCCACAAAAAACACACTAGACATGTCTTTTAAGGTATCATCAGAAAAATACACTCAACTCCACAGTGAATGTCAGACAAATACAGGTCAGAGATAACTTCTGAGTTTTCTTTAGAAATCTCTCCTCATGGTTTAATAGTTACAGCTGCATAAACTTACCATGCTCATCTATGAACACATGCATCGCGTCCACAGATATTTCATCTTGCATTGAAGCCTCAGGTCCACTTATAACTTGCAAGATAGAACTATCTTGCTGGGAAGTTACGCGGTAGATTATCTGCCTTTGCCTGTTGCCCTGGTAACTTGACACAAAAATGTTTCAAAACTACTATGAGGAACTTTTTTCTTGTTCTCAATAAAACAGAGAGAGAGAGAGGTTAATTAAAAGTTTACGTCAATTCTACTCAATATAACAGAACAGCTCGCATCATCATGCGTTTGAAGTACAAAAAATATAAAGTAACTGCCCTTACTGTGCTGTAAATTGGGCAGGCTCTGGTAGCACTGGACTAGCACTAGCCCAATCTTGACTTTGTACATCTGATCTTTCCTGTTTAGAAACATGCTTGTAGTGCTTTTCTGTTTCCAGCATTTCTTCTTTTCTCTCTGTTGTATGGCTATCTGAAAGATACGTGAATAAAGAAGGGAGACGTTCTACACAGATCACTGTAAAGAGTTCTGTTCATTTACTTCAGAACAAGAGCATTTTTAAGGAGAAGTTGTCCAAAGACAACTTTGCTCAATTGGCCTCCATTGGTGAAAAACAAATTAGTCAGGGTGAATAGAGTAAACTGCTTAGAGGAGGATTATTGAGTTGTTTTTTGGCACAAGTTACCTTGTGTTGTGCTTCTATGTAGCCTGAACCTCCCTGAACTGGAAATCTCTTAATTTCCAGACCATTATGTGTAGGAAATTTTTTAAAAGGGCCCATTTTTTGAAAATATGGCAGAAGTGTCAAAAGTATTTAGAAAATCAAAGTTTTTACTCCTTAGTCAAACAGTCCCATTTGAAAATAAATCTGTGCATTTCCTGTTTAACTAGTGATTTAAATTGCACTTTAAGCACAAAATCTCACCCTAGTTTAACTATGCAGCTGATACAGTGTTCCATAATCTCATAACTATACTCCAACAGGGGACAAGAGGCTGCAGAAGCCTAATTAAATCCATTTTCCCTAGGGAGTTATGGTTGTTCAAGGATTAAGAATAACTGATAGCCAACAAAAAGGTTATATTAATCTAATTGGTCCCACACTGCCTAATGCTGGCTCGAGGGCTGAAACAATTAACAAGATTTTTTGTTTGATGATTTAATGGCTTGAAGGGGGAAAAAAGTCTCACTCTTTTCCATTCCAGGTCTCAAGTCTTTCAATTCTCTTTCCCCTGAAGTGGTGAAGATTAATAATAAATAAAAATGAATGGCAATTCTTAGTGCTCCTAGCACTAGAAAGATATGCCAGGAGGGTCTGCAATGGGATTTTAGTACAATGATTCCTGCTGATTTCTCTCCACAGAAGTTACTTGTACTTTCAACTTTTGAATGGAGGTAACATATGGGGGGGGGAAATGGTTCTTCAGTCTCTGCCAATTAATAAACATGAATCTGATGACTCAAATGACAGCTCAATTTATCCTCTAAATTTTGGTAGTCTAGTTAACATTAAAATCTTCATCTTTTTTCCTCCCCACATCTCTTCTGCATGTTAAGACTCCCCCTTTGTCAATGATGTAATTTACAAATGCAGAAAGTATTACTGATTTTTGCAAAAACTAACAAATGCATTTACAGTCTGGATTGAAAATCATTATTGTTTACAAACTGACTTCTAGCAAAAAATTCTCATGATCTGTTTTTACATGTTGCACCCTGGAGCTAGTTCAGTCAATAATGCAATATTCGAATATAATTTGTCAACTAATCTACATTTTGTAGGGTTACCATACATCCGGATTTTCCCGGACATGTCCGGATTTTTGGGACTCAAATCCCCGTCCGGGGGGAAATCCCAAAAAGCCGAACATGTCTGGGAAAATCCGGCGCCACTGGGCCGGAGGTGCGCTGGGCCGGGGCGGGCGGTGCTGGCCCAGGGCCGGCACCCCAGGGCCCGAGCCGAGCCAGCCAGACGCCGGGGCCGGCTGCCGGAGGGGGCCAGACTGGGCTGCGCCTCCTCGCCCTACCCCCCCAGCTTACCTGCTGCCTGCTTCCTGCTTCAGGCTTCCCGCGAATCAAATGTTCGCGGGAAGCAGGGGAGGGGGCGGAGTTGGGGCGGGGACTTTGGAGAAGGGGTGGAGTTGGGCGGGGGCGGGGCTGGGGGCGGGGCCAGGGCCCCGTGGAGTGTCCTCTTTTTGGACACTCAAAATATGGTAACCCTACATTTTGTTTTTCATGGTTTTCATTGAGCAAACTGCTAAACACAGACTTTAAACAAATATTATCTGTCACATGAGAAACAAGAGGATGCCAAAATTCAAAAATAAAAATGACTGATAAAAAAAAACATAAAAAGGCAACAGACAATATAGTAGAGTTTACATTTCAGTAAGTACTTGCTTACCTGGAAATGTACTTCCTCTGACTCAAATCCACTAGGATGGAGCTGCTGAGATTTATTGCTAAGTCAAGCTCAGGAAAAAAATTCTCATCACTTGTGCAGAGATAACTAAGGCCTGGTCTGCACAGTTTTTATGCCCATATAACTATTTCAGTTAAGAGTGTGACATTTTATCTGTATACGTATAGGGGTTTAACCCTCTAGTGTGGATGCAGATATACACATTCCTTACACTGGTATAGCTTATTCCCCTTCCCTTTGGGAATAACCTATGCCTCTGTAAGCACTATTATACTAGTATAACTGCATCCACACTAGAGGGTTTGTACAGCTTTAACTACACCAGTATAGTTAAACTGGTACAATTTTTGCATATAGACAATTCAGCTGTCTGACACAATGTGATTGTCTCAATATTTTGTCTGTTGTCTTATTGTCTTGGCTAATTTTAAATGAAATCTATTGCTGCTGTGATCAGCTAAAATATTTCTCTGAATTCTGCTTTTTCCATTTTAGATTGTTGTGCCAGGGTTTCTTCTGTTTATGCTCCATCTGCCCCTAGCCCAGTCTTATAGGTTTAGTTTTGTCCTCAATTGAATGCAAACTGAAATGCCACTGCTCCTATACATTTTCATTTTGTTTTGTTTCATTGACGGTTTTTAAAATAAAATGGAAGTAAAATTCAAATAAAAAAATCATTTCAAATAAAAAAAATCAAATAAATATTTCAATATTTTCAGTTTTTTTGAGGGGGAGCAGTTTGAACAGAAATGTTTTGGCAAAGTCATTATGAATTCATGAATCTGCATTTTTTGGCAAAAAAAAGTTTAGTCTGAAAAAATTTGCCCAGCTCCACTAATAATATGTTTTAAATTTAAGCAACAATTCTAATACCTAAATAATATTAAGACTAAAGCCCATCTGATTTGTAATCTGTATCTTATCTTACAGACTTGCACTTGTCTATTCTGGGTCTCATATATTCTATAATTCCTCTGATGCAGAATCTATTCCTTTCAGGAGAATTGCACTCTGGAATATAAACTTTCATTTAAAAAATGAGACCTTTCTAGCCCATATGGTTTCAAAGATAATTTTGTAAATGTAAGGCCATCTTAAACCAGTGCAGTGTCGACTGTACAGAGTAGAAAATAATAGTTCTGAGATATGTGTGAAATGTTCAGAGTGTACACTCTGAGGCCTAAAGATGACATTTTAATTGACAATAGTCTTAATTATTTCACTGTTGATCATTTCAGCAGAAACATCTAGCTAATACGCTTTTCCCGCAATCCCAAACTGCCTTGAAAGGTTCAAAAAAAGACATTTAAAAAATGTACGTGAGGCTGAGGCAGAATATCCTCCACAGCAGAATCCCGGGATCTTGCTGCAGAATTTTGGTCCAACTTTCTGAGGAGTATGTGAGATCTTAAGTCTGGTCCTCTAGTAATGCTGCAAGGTGCGCAGTGTGACAGTGTACAAAACCACATTTTGTTCCTGCTAGCGGGGAGCAACTTATCTGCATCATATCCTGGGGTGAAATCCTGGCTCCACTGATGTCAATGGCAAAACTCCACTAAAGTTAATGGCAAGACATTAAATAGGGGCAGAATTTCACCCTGTAGTGTGTTTTATTGAATATATGTGTATGCAGGGGCTGTGGGGCCCTGGCATTTAAAGTGGCAGGGCATAGATCAGCTCATTCTGCCTGGCCCTCCTCTTCTCCTTTCAGGAGCCCTCTCTCTCTCAGCAGTAGCTTGACCCCCCCCCCCCCAGGTCCATGAGACTTATGTCCACCACATTTTTTTAATCATTAGGCTTCTGTATGAGATCAAAGCACTGAAATAATATAGTTGGTGATTAGGGTAGCTTGGTGAACCTGACATCCATATGTATAATGGCAATTTTAAAGTTTTAGATCTGATTTTTCTTTAGTTTTGCCTCTAGATACCCAGATATGCTTATCTCTTCAAAGTTGCCATTCCTAAGCATAAGTTTAAAAATCAACAGAGGCAGGATTGTCTTTGTGGCGAGTACCTTTTGCAAACCTCAGATAAAAGAGTCTTCAAAAGTAAAAGAGATTCAGGGCAGTCTGCACTACCACTTAATTCAATCTAATTTATGTCGCTCAGGAGTGTGAAAAAAGACACCCCTATGAGCGACACAAGTTACAGCAACTTACATTGTCCACACCAGTGGTACATCGGTGGGAGATGCTCTCCCGCCAACATAGCTTCTGCCTCTCGCAGTGTGGAGTAATTATGCTGATGGGAGAGCGCTCTCCCATTGGCATAGAGTGTTTTCACCAGACACACTACAGTGGCGCAGCTGCATCAGTGCAGCTGTGCTGATGTAGCACTTCTAGTGTAGACCTGCCCTCAGTCACGATGGTGAATAGGTTTGTAAAAACACTTAGCTCATAAACAGCACTGCTCATAAATAGCTCATAAACCAGTAAATCTCCAAGTGCTTTACAAAGAAGGTCAGAATCATTACCATATTTTACCAATGGGGAAACTGAGGCACACAGAGATGTGACTTGCCCAAGATCACCCAGCAGACCAGTGGCAGAGCTAAGAATATAACTCAGGTTTCCAGAGTCCCAGTCGAGTGCTCTGTTCACTAGACTTGACTGGCAATCTAGAACACATGATGAATACCTCCAAGTTAGCTCCCCATTTCCTCACAGGCATCAGCAAGAGTTACCATCATATTTTGAACTTAAATATTAAAATATGAAAATGTCTTTAAAATAATTACAATTTTTTCTAACACCGGGATAATTTTTTGAGCCCCAGAAGAACAAAGTCAACATTGTGGTTTGTGCACTGCACTACATGACAAGTAGAGTTAGTCAAATTTCTGTTTTGTGGTAAATGTTGACCTTTAAAAATTTGATTGGAATGAAAGCAAATATTTTCAATATTTTCCATGTGATGGAATTTCTGAACATTTTCAGATTTGGAAAATTTTGTTTTGGAATTTCAAAATTTCATTCAAATTTTATTTTATGGGGCAGTTATATTATTTTTATTATTTTGTTTCATAACTTAGTGACTAAGTATCAAACTGTTTCACTACAACATAAACTGGAGACACTGATCTAGAAAATAACTGTCGCAATCAGTACTAAATAGCATTTACCCTTAATAATGTTAAAAATAAAATGAAAATAATATAACATTGCAACTACAATTTTATGTCTTATTATGACACATCAGTAGCAGTGTATATATTCACTGATGTTTCATGAAAAGAGGTAAAATAATAATATAAAAATGATAAAACATAATAATTCTTTTTTTTTTAATTTTTCCAACACAACCATTTTCCTAAATGAAAATGTTTTCCATTTCTATTCCAAACTATTTTCCCCCCACAGGAATTTTAGTGAAAAGCAATATAATTTTACAAAAAACTTCAGTTTCACTGAAACAGCTTTTTCCAAACTGTTGGAAAATTTTTGACGTTTTTCCAACCTGTTCTAATGATGAGAACATTTTTTTTAAAATTTGCTTCTACACCATCTAAATTCAGGCAAAACAGTTCTTTTTTGTGTTCTTCTGTCTTAATTCCCACCATTCCTACAGCTGTTCTTGTTCCCTGTGTGATATACCATCAACCGTGTTAGAAGACGGAATACAAATGCTTCCGGCCTGCAAAAATTTGACGTACACCAAGTTCACCAACTCTTACTCAGCTACAGACTTGTCAGAGGAGCCATCAGCAAGTACAGTAATAAACCTAATTTTTTATATGCATTTCCGAGATGCGTTCCTAGGACACTTTTCAGTTGCCTCTATAAAGCCTTTCCCTGTAGAGGTATCAAGAGTTTGATCCAAGATTAAAGCCACTATTGGCCTGCAATGTAGAGCATTTCAAGATCTCTAAAACCCCAAATCATGTTTAGCAATGGTGTAAGTGGCGTTAAACAAGGTTTATAGCTCCTCATGTTGCATTTTACTGAGCAGTCTAGTGCTAAGAGCTTCTTGTGGACAAACAGATACATTTTCTGCTCCTACGCATTTAACATGAGGAGAAGTGTGGGCATGCACATATAAGGAATCAGATCTAGAGCTCTTACACCCACTTACAAGAGGACTTTCCCAATAAAAAAACTTCTCATGCTTTCTGCAAATTACACAAAACACGTAATCTTTCTTTCAAGAAATTCCTGAATATTTAGCTTTCCAGGATTTCTGGAAACCGCATATACATTCGTATATGTTCAAGTTAATCACATTCCTTAACCTATTCCTCTGTGCCATGTTCATTGAGCCAGGGGCTTCAGTATTATTCTTTGCCAATTAGGGTGAGTTTTGTTGTTGTTTTTTATTTAAACCTAAAAAAATGCCAATCAAGTGGCTTGACTTGTTCCAGACATTTTTCTCATATACAAAAAACCAACCACTTCTCTGTGTGTATAATTTGTATTCAAATATGTTTTAAAATATATTGTATACATTGCAAATTAGCTCTTCCTGCTTGGCCCAGGAAGTATAACTAGTAATTGCAAGACTAACAAATTAGAAAGAGGCCATCTCATTCCTAAAATCAAATTGTGTTTTGCAGAAGAAGCAAATAATCAGATTATAATGTATAGTTTAGTTTATTTTAGTACACAGCATACTCTTGCTTGGCTGGCAAATTAAATTTGCTTTGAACTACCTTCCTTTGAACTACCTGACTATAATTGAAAACCTCAGACTCATTCTCTACCTTCTCCAAGAACTCCATAAATCTGATCAGAGCACTAACAGACACCAGACTCTAACTGAGGCTTATATCAGGCTTACTCAATAATGTATTTTTCCCTGGTCCCACTCCTACTTCTTCCAAGGCATTACTTGTGTGGATGACATCAACTAGACCCATCCACCTCCTTTTTGACTATCAGCTCAGCCTCTCTTCCCCATTCGGTCTCCTCCCCTCTGACTTACCTAAATTCTATTGCTCTGCTTAGCCATTAGCCAACTTTTGAGGCAGCTGAGGTCTTTTTACTCCACTTCCACTCACCCCCTCTGGCCACGCTCTCTTCTGTCAGACAACTTGATTCTGCCGTGTTGGAGATCACCAAACTCTCACCCTGCCTCCCCTGTTGTTCTTGTCCAGCCAGCATGAAACCTGAAACTAATTATTAACTGTTTTACCTAGGAGCCCTAGTCAGGGACCAGGACTCCATTGTGGTAGGCACCACACATACACAGATTAAAAAGATGACCCTTGCTCCAAAAGGCTTACTAGGAAAGCACTTCTATTTGTCCTGGACAAAAGGATTTTCCAAGCCTGAGCTATGTACCGTGGCCTGAGATTGGAAAATAGGTGTGCTCTCACTTTCTAATCATACCTTTTATATAAATCACAACAACAGGGAACTTCCCTAACTGTGGGAAAGACAATAACAATCTGCTTACCTATTCAACATAAGAAAAATACTGCTGGAGAATTTATTAGAATCAAAATCCAGTGATTTAGACTTCTGAATTAGGCTTGTTACAAATAGGCTAGTTAATGAATAATAAAATCAGGTCTGATTTGTTGATGTAAGGATATTTATTTTGTATGTTTTTGACATGTGATGTTGACAATTTGTGTTAATGGCATATAAAGCTTTAACTTTTTGAATCTTGATACCTATGGTCATTAAATAATTCTCCCCCACACACACACACACCGCAATTACCTGCAACTGTGAAAATTTAAATTGATTAAAAAAAATGCTTAAAAATAAACATCCATATTATCCATCAAAATTATAAAAAATACAGCCTAAAAATACTGTATCCAAATGAACATTTAAGGCCTCCTCCAAATAATAAAGCCCACAAATAACTTGCAGGAAATCTAATTGGGGACAGGCTAGGGAAGGCAAAGGACCAGTTGTTTAGACTAGCCTGAGAAGCAGCATATTAATCAATGGGAGCCAAAGGGGAAGAAAATCAATTGAACAACGTGGTGCTGTGGAGGCGAGGTCAGAGAGGATGTACTGAGGGGCTAGTGGACAGAGAATGGAGTGATGCTCTAGGGTAGGAAGTGACAAAAATGGAATGGATCTTTAACCTGATTGGGGGTGCAGAGGGGGTGAGTGTGGATTGGGAACAGAATCAATGGCAGAATGGGTTGGGGAATGTAAAAAAGTTGATTAGGGACAAAGAATAGACTGATGGGATTGGGATCTATAGAAGCTACATGAAAGATGAGCAGAGAACTGAATGGAGAGGCTTGGGAGGAAGGGCCGAGAATGGACTGATAGTGCTGGAGATGAACAGTAAAGAAATAGATGGAGGGGACAAGAGAAGAGTATAGGAAAGGGAGTGAGAGCAGGGAATGGAAAGTAGCATGGAGTGAACAGAAAAGGGGAGAGTAAATAAGAGTAGAAGAAGGGGAATGAAACAAAACTGATAACGTAACATGGAATAGAAAAGGTTGGAACTGCAGTGAGAGATGGAGAAAAATGAGGGTAGGATTTAATGAGCATGATAGAGTCAGAAAAATGAAAAGGTGGAAGATAATTACAGGAGGAATAGGATACAAAGGAAGAAGAAAGCAAGTCAAGTGGATATCGTATGGCAAAATGTTTTATAAAGTCAATCAGGTATATGTGTGTTGGACCTCTTTTGTGGGATGTAGAATGTTTGCAGCTAGTCATGGGAATCCATATTTCCTACTGTACACATGGAGAAGGGGGATAACTTTTTAAAAAAAATGTTAACACTGTTTTATTAGAATATTTGAATACATCTCTTGTGTTTTATGGGAAAGACATAAGTGCATTTTGGTTGCATGCTTTTTGGGTATCTTCATAGAATACAATTTACCATGGATTCCAAACAAATAAGAGGCAGGCTTCCTAGGATTTGTTTGTTTTGGTTAAAGTCTTCTAAAATATGTGAAATTGCATTTGGTAGTTCAGACCTTGCTCTGAGAGGATCATGGAGCCTCTCCACTGTATTTTGTCTTACATCTCCACAACACATAACCCTCCCCCGTTAGTTTTGTTTAGCTAGATATAAGGCTAGATTTAGTTATTATTTTATAGAAAGCAAGGTGCCAAAACAATTAGAAACAACACACCTATACATTGCGTTGGGAGGCACTGGGATAGAGAAGAGAGATAGCAGAGCTAGTTGTGGGTGAGGAGCCAAATATTCTTATATATGGGAAACAGAATATACAGCTTTGGTTTTATGTCATGGGTAGAGCAGTAGAAAAATTCTCAAATTATTTAAACAAAAAAAGCTTTTGACTAAATGGAATTTTTCGTGCGAAAGTTCCAGTTTTCATCAAAATTTTGGTGGCTTTCACTGAAAACTGAAGACTTTTCTGTTATAAAAAAATGAATATTTTTAGTTTTCAGAAATTGAACTACCAACAAATTTTCAGTTTTCAGCTTCCAAAAGATATAAATATTTTGATGTAAACCTAAAAACGTGTGTGAATTTTTTTTCAAGGTTATTAAAATACAACTAAAGCTGGTCAGGAAATGTAGGGATCTGGGGTTTGGGTTTGATTTTTAATATACATAAGTGACTCTGGCTCTTTTAAATATGTGTATATATTTAAGAAGTCCTCATATGCATCTGATGGAAAGAGTATGAGAGGGAGTGGCACAGCAATTTTGCAGGTTTTGGTAAACATGTATTGGTATTCTAACAGAACCAAGCTTGCCCCATGCAGGTTATTCCAATGTAGAAGTCCAGCTAAATACCAGCTGAATGCTTACTTTACTTAGCTCAAATCTTTTGCTTTGAAGTGTTCAAAAGCCTTCTAAAACTACAGGAAACTGCACCAGGTATTTTTTATGACAGGACCTTATCCCCACCCTTTTTAGCACTTCTCCAAGTTGGATTTGGCTAACTTTTTATGGACCTGAGATTAAATCACCATAAACAAAGTAGGTAAGAGTCTGGCAATCTTTGATTTTCTTATTCCAAAAGAATAGTTTTAAAATATCATATCATACCATACCTCCACCAAACCCATCATCTTTTGTAGTCTCTGTTTTGATATTGGACTGATTTGACGCTGTCACCTTTGCGGTATTAATGGATTCCAGCAGGGAGACAAATTCCAGGAAATTAGATTCATTGGGTATTTGTCCTTCTTTAGCTTCTAAGTCAGATTTAGAAGTTGGCAAGGTCTTTTCTTTATCACTGATTATCTCAATGGAATTCTTACTTAAAAAGATGTCTGTCCCACTGTCTACGCTCAGCACTCGAATGTGTCTCTTTTCATGGGCAGTTTTATAAGACAGAGGATCAAGGTTCTGTTGAATTTCTTTAGAATTGGAAGTGGTGACCAGCAAATTCTCTGAAGCATTCTCCAGATTTGGACCTAAACGAGTGTTAGTTTCTGAATGGTTATTTGCAGGATAGCTATGGTCCTTTACTGCGTTGTCCAGATCACCAGACTCATAGCCAGAACACTGGTTGGATGATGCATCGACCTTTAAACGTTCTGGGGTTCTTTCACTTTCACTGGCTTCCAGATGAACATTACCTCCACCATCATCAGACAATTCAAAAGTTATAACCGGAATTTTGATCTGTTCGTTATTTTTTTGACTGTGGAGATCTGCTATAGCTACACCAGAGTCTGGGTTTGAGCTAGTTTTCTCAGTACCTGACACCTTCAGATGGAGAGAACCTTCTAAATCACTCATTGTATTTGGTGTACTACTCATTGTAATAACTATTTTAATGGGTTCATGTAAATTAAGTTGGTCTCCAGGCAGAGAACTGTCAACAAGAGCAATAGCAACCTCACCATCTGAATAATCAAGATCTTCATTGGTGTTATCAACATGAAAAGAAATTTCCACAGGCCCATCGGTCTCTTTGGTTGCAATTGTATTACACTGTGGGCAGTTATGATTAAAGCTTTCATGGGGTGATCCATCTGGGAATTTCTCTCTTTTGTAACTTTTTGGATTACTTAAATGCTCTGAAATAATAACTGAATTTTCACTGCCCCATTGCTCAAAAGAAATGCCAGTTCTTAAAATGTCATACTGTGACAGAGAGAGATTTGACAACTTTTTAACCAGATCTTTGTCCATGAGAATATCTTCTGATCCAAAGTAGGCGGAAGGGTGCAGCTTCTCTTCTTTTTCATTTGTTCCATTACTGATAAATGTCTCCATAGCTGCTGGTTTTGCTACTATTGCCGATGTGGTAGAATCTGACATATGGGCTGTGGAAATAGGTAACATATCCGCTTTGATATAGGGTGAGGTAGATAAAACTGGTGGTGAAGCCTGGTCTTCTAACATTGTTACCCCTAATAAGAACATACATATGAGTGAGGTTGCACAAACAAAAGTCATTATGCATTATAGATGTCAATATTCCTATGCATCAAAACCAGCCTGCAGAGCTAAGGAAACATGGAAATACAGAACAAAATAGTTGATAACTTTAGACAGAAATTTACTATGGAATGTAACAATTGTTCTCTGCTAACTGACTTTCACAATTTTTTGCATCTAGCTAAGAAATTAGGAAGATAATTTTCTTGTTTAGGAATTGTATGAAAAAGAGATTTTTATTTTAATTACCTGGAAATATGGTTCTTACTCATGTGAGCAATAAGATAAGGGTTTGCAGGCTCAGGCCCAATCTCAGGGTGAAAGGGGCCTTTACAATATGTTAGCGTTGCAGTTCTACTCTAGGTCAGGTTCCCTCAAAAATCAAGAGATAGTAGCAGCAGCAGCGTATACATTTTAAAAAACAAAATAAAATAAAAATCACAAGAACCCAAACAAACAAAAACAATCTGCCAAACCCAAACATTACACTGCACACACAATTCTCTCCCTGGGGACAGGATGATAGAAAGAAGGAACCAATGTAACAGATATTAGTCATGTCACCTCATGCACTGCAGGAATCGTCACAGATACTACAGTGATGAGGGTGGTGTAAGAACCTATGCAGAATGGAATTCTGGAACTTGTCGTTCATGGACCATTGGCATGCTGGGAATGCTGGGAATGCTGTCAGAGTGAATGAGAAGAACCAGAGACTTTAAGGGAGCAGAATGCGTTGCTGAGTCTCTCCAGGCAAACAGCTCAGGAGAGTCTTTGGTGGAGACAAGGGAAGAAGCAAAACTGGTAGTGATTCTGCAGGCTGAGTTGAGCTGAAAGGGGCCAGGCTATGGAGGAGCAACCAGGAGATGGAAGACCTGGGAAGAAGCCAGAGGGGCAGGTGGAGAGAAGGACCAGGAACTCCATGGAAAAGAGAGTTCTATGGACTTTGTTACTGAGACATGGGTTGGATAAAGCTGGGGAGCTAGTAACAGAGGGTTCTGAAGTAGCAGGGGAAAGGTGGTGGTAGGCTAACGAGCCAGAAGTAGCCAAGGGCAAGAAGAGGCCATGATCAAAGGAAGTGTAGAGGGTTTGGGGTGTGAGCTGACCACTAGCTTTCTGCTTTGGGGTCCATGGCAGAGGGCTTCCAAGAGAGAGTGGGAGAAAGTCCCCTTCACTCCCCTTAATCAAAGTGCACAAGGTGCATAGACCCTTAAGGAAGGGCTGTGGCCCAGAGCAGGTGAAAGGCAGGGGATGGGAAACTAGTTTTGGGACTTTCCTTTGACTTTTGTTTACCCTGGCAGAGATGGGGTTTTTCTAATTTAGCTACAGAACTCAAGGAAACTATACAATTAGTTATCCCCAAGGAGGGGAAAGTGATGCAGCAGCCGCACTTGGCCCTGGAACTGGTAAGCCTCTGGTACAGGCTGTGCATGTACTGAAATACTTTTGGCAAGCAATGTTTATAGAAAACAGTTAATAAAGGTTAAAAAAAAGCTTTCAAGATACCTTTGAGATCTTCAACAGTTTCTTGTGTTGGCAGCTCCTAAAAAAATGAAATATATTAAATTCATTGTGTTCAAATTAAATACTGTTTTTAAAAATTTAGAATTTAAACTCAACAATCATCTCATCAATTGTTAGTACATAACATTCAGTAACTTGCGAATGCACCAGTGGGAGCTGCAGATGGTGAAAGGTGAGAAGAAGGTGATGCTATAGTATCAGTCATGGTCTACCTAATAGTTCAAATCACATTTGTGACATTCAGGATAAATTCTGAGATGGATTTTTTGCCAGTCAGCAGCCCCAGAGGTGGGGTTTTAGTCAGAAGGGAACAGAGAGCACATATATTGGTTTCCCTTTTTCATTTTATGGATTTTTTTATCTGTGAGATTATCAGGTTTCCTTTCCAATATTTGAAAAGAATCTCTTACACAATGCTGGAAAAGAAAGACATCTAATTTAAAAGACTAGGTTGATAACCTGAAAAAGAGTACTATGGAGAAAATCAATGTGGTGTTGCCCCTCCTAGTAGCCAGAAGCCCCTTTGGCACTGGGCACCAGCACTGAGAGCAGGAAGACCATTTCTACTGTCCTCTCAATGCTCCTGCTGCTGATGCCCAGGCAATCAGGGGAAGGAGCCTGGACTGGCAAGGGAATAGACTGGGACAAGGGGAGGTGAGAGTAGGGAAGAGTGGAACTGGGACAAGGAGCTGAGGAGGGAGATTGGGACAGAGACAATGACAGGTGGGGGAGGCTAGGGGCAGAAAGGGCTGTAATACCTAGACACATTTCCCTCAGATCCTGAAGTAGAATCCAGTATTCCTGAGTGTCAATATTCCTCTGTTATCAGCAAATAGCTGTGAAACCCACTGGCAAAATGTGTGCTTCATCTCCTTCTAGGGGTTGTCCAACATAGAGGGTGACAACCTACTACTTCTATCAGTTACACTATTATTACTCAAGTGGCAGAGGTCTGTGCTGTGGATCTAAAGGTTCTAACCCTGCTTATGAGCCATGTTGGACTCTATATGGTTCTATATGATGGAATTTGTTTTGTTAGTTACATTTTTAAAAGCCTAGGAAAGTACATTAAAAAACTACATTAAAAGAACATTAAAGTTGCAAAGTCAAGCACTCAAAAGTCAGAAAATGCCAGAATTCAAATTGTCCATGCAATCTTAATTCGTCCCCCTTGTGTGTATGCATTATGACACAGTCTTTAATTACATGGTCATGTATTTTTTTTTTCTACAAGACCCTGCCTCATTCAGTGCAGAGGAATAACTGTGCTGTGCGACTGAATCAGGATTGTGTAGTGAAAGAGGCTGTTTTCTGTAAGACCCCTGCCCACATTTGTTGCCAAAGTTGGAAGATGTGTAGTGAATGAGGCATGGGATAGCAGGCAAATAAAGGATGATTTTATTGTTTAGGCAGTTGAATGATGCCCTTGAAGTTTGGATTCTATCCCTGCCTCTGCCAGAGTTCCTGTGTGAAGCTGGGCAAGTCACTTAAACCAAACTTTTCACAGATGAATTCATTTTCTGTGTGCGCAATTTGATATATCTGTATTCTAATATGCAGAAGGTCTGAGCACTAACAAATGCAACTGAAATTAATGACAGCTCATCTCTGAACAAATAAAGCACTACCAAATGCTAAATTTCTCAAAAATGATCTCAAATTGCACACCAAAATTCATTGGCACTTTTGACATTAATGTCGCTATGCCTCAGTTTCTCATCTATAAAATGGGAGTTATAGTATTACTTTACAGGAGTGTTGTGAAGATAACTCCATTAAGGTTTGTGAAGCACTGAAATGCTATAGTGGTAAACACCCTGGATAGACCTACAAAGAAATTAATAGTTCTGTATGCAGTGCAAGATTTGAATAGTGTGCATGTGCAGTAAATAGGGGCTCGGGAGACACATTGAGCAATGAGGATAAAATGAAATATTGAATAGCTACTCATTAAGTGAGCACCATACAACCTGTACACTGAATGAGGCAAGGGTTCTATGGAAAAATAGTATGTGATCATGTAATTAAAGATTTATCATAATGCACAAAGGGGCTGAATTAAGGCTCACAGGCAACCTTAATTTGTCATTTCTTGATTGCTTGACTTTGCAACCTTTATAGGGTGGCCAGATGTCCCTATTTTATAGGGACAGTCCCAATATTTGGGCCTTTTTCTTCTATAGGCGCCTATTACCCCCCACCCGTCACGATTTTTCAACCTTGCTGTCTGGTCACCCTAAACCTTTATGTTCTTTCTATAGTTTTTGGTATGTAATATGTATGTACATTGTCACGCAACTTCAACTGCCCCATTGGCTTTAGAATGTAACTGATCCATGAATGCTGCAATCGTTTAGAGTTCTATTCATGTTGTAAACCCCATCGCGGGAGTTAAGTCAAATATGTATGTTACGAGACATGCCCCGAGATATGAGATAGGGGTCATTTTATAAATCTAAAAATAAATACAGTAATGAGGAATAGCTGTGCAAGGGCTGTTATTAATGGTCCGGAAGAAAAGTCATTCTAGGCACACAAAATGGTTGCTCTGCATGCTTTAGCAGCCTGCAATAAAAGTGCTCTCTTTACCTCCAGGAAGCTCCCTTTTCTTGGTTTGAAAGCAGCAGCAGGTCCTAGTTGTTCTGTGGCCTGAAGATGCAGACAGATTCCTACTGGAATTTACAAAAGTGCCTAAGCGGGTTACAAATGCCTTTGTAAATTTGGCTATTTGAAACTAGGCAAAGACTGACCAATCCAGTGCAGCAAGCAAGATGGCTGCTCTGGCCTGCTTGTGTACTAAAAGCAGACTGCTAAACGTCAAACACAGGAAATAGCCCTATGTATCTCTGTGCAGGATCAGTTCCATAATTTACATGCAGTTGTATGTACTCCCATAAGATATGAGACACTGTTTGATACATTGTATAGCTCTTCACAAAAAGAAGATATAGATACAGAAAACAGCCTACTAACCATGACTCCAGAAGAGTGGTGCAAGTTTATAGCCTGTACTCTTGAACTGCCATGGATTGTTGGGGTCGAGTCATTTTGCTTGACCTCTTCAATTGTACCATTCTCTCCTATGTTATTGCTGACCCAAAAGAAGAAAGTAAAATGTCAGTGGTGACATCTCTTAAGATAACTATGACTGTGTTTTCCTGCACAGCCGCTGACCCATATTTATGACACAAAAATATTATCAAGATCACAGTACTTGAACGGGGGGTCAGAGTGAGGAATGATGGTAGGGCACTCCCCAAGTGACAGTATGCTCCAAGGTTTTCCTCTCTCACACCCGTAAATGAGCAGCTGTGAAAACTGTGTACATGACAAAAGTTTCTACTCCCCCCAAATTCAAACACTGAAAGATCAACAATAGAACAAATAATACTTGTAGAAGTTTTATGAGGAATAAAAAGACACAATCTTAGACCCAAAAAATATCAACACAAAATAATTCTGACATTCCAGAGAAATAGGACACAGCCAAGCTAAACACACAATGCCGCCACTCCAAGCTCAGTATATAGACTGGCTCACCTGTGTCTGCCCGATACTGGTTTACAAATTGATTTATTGCACCAAATACTGGCTTGCCCTTCCTACTAGCAGTATAATAACGAACTGTTAGTATTTCTATGTTACTTTCCATTTACATCATTCAACTTTATCATCTTGGGTATACTCTGTGTGCCTAATAGCTTAGTCATTTATGTACCTCCTAGTAATTATCCATTTGAAACAAATAAATAGTCACGGGGTTGTGGGAGATCTGTGTTGTATTATAGCCATTAGACACTGAACAAAATAGTTTCTTCTCTGCCTTTTGGCTAAGGTCAAGTGTAGAATCAGTTTAACATATGATATGTCTGTCAGTTACAGTAAGGTATACTTAGCCATTCTGTGGAGATGTTTTTCTTGCAAGCAGCTGAGCACAGACCCTGTTTTGTTGGCAAAGTACAACGTATATAAAGATATTCCACTTAAAGTTTCACTGCTATTACCAATGGTGTAACACCAAAAGATTTTTTCCCATTTATAGTTTTAAAACACAAACACCTGTAACTCTATGTCAGCTATAAACTGTATTACCTGGGAGTCACAAACATCTTCATCACAACACTATATTAATTTAGTTATTTGGCTTCAAATATGCTATTTAAATATGATTCAAATATCACATGTCTATGACCAGGCTCCACTGAAAATTTTTGCCACCTGTCTTATAACAGTAATATTTGAAAACAGTACACAGAGTGTTCATTTTCTAATATAAAATGAAGAATTCCTAGAAAAATACCACTTAAAAATCATGAATACGGATTATCTTTAGCTGTTATGGTAATCAAATGCCATTAATATATCCCTTATATGGAGAAGGAATTTTCCTTTATCAAGTTAAGAATTCTACTGTAACATGGCTAAATAATGAATGTTTAACCAGAACAGTATAGTGAAAACCTATTCATCTAGATGAGGCAGATGGGTTTGCTTACTTGTCACAATGTTTGATTTCAGTTTAATTTGATATTTGTATTTATTATTTATGGTGGAAGTGTGTGTTAGTCTGTGGACAAGAATTATGTAATTGAACTAAGCAGAAGATGCTTGCTTGACATAAAATGAAAGTTTTATAAGAGGTACTACTTGGAATCATTAGCAATACAAAAGGCAAAAGAGTGGAAACGTATGCGTCTTCCATTGATCATATTTATTAAGGGATTTTTGGTTTACATTTCAGCAAGTCTAAAACAGTGGATGAGCCTCTTATGTCACTATGTCAGTGTATCTCATATGAGTAAAAGGAAAATTATAATTTTGTAGAACGGACAGGATTTAAAAGGACTGGGAGTCTTAAACGCAAACATATACTTTGACAACCTCTATTGGTTTTATTTGAATTTCTAGAAAGTAGTCTTCAACATTACTGTTTAAATAAAATTTGTTTTACAATGCTTTTTACCAACCCAAGCTCCTTATATAATTACTATTATTTTCCTCACCTTTCAGATATTTTTTTATTCATTTGCGTTTAGTTTTAAAGGCTGTAATTAAATTTGCTGTGATTCTACATTGCATTTTGTAGCAAAGAGTTTTTTCCTGCTGAGATGAAGTTATATTACACAGAGATTTACTTGAAGTCAAACTAGTCCACTAGAGACACAAGGTTGGAGAGATAGAATTAAGAGACAATAGCTGCATAAACCTGAAACCACAGCAGACATGCTCCCGTGAGTAAAACGATGGTCACATTCCTTCCTTCCTTGCTCCTGCAACTCCCCTTGCAGCTCACATTTAATGAGCAACAGCCCGGTAGCCTTTATTTTCTCTGCTCCTGCATTTGACTCTGAGTACTGCCACAAGAGTACATGCAGCCAGGTGCAGAGTCACCAGTAGATGTTCTCCAGAACAACATCTGGGCAAGGCTGGGGTAAACGGAGGAAAGGAAACCAAGCAGAAGAGAATAAAAAAGAATGTGGAGGGAGGGAATTAGAAAGTGGAAGGAAAAAAACTAGAAAAGGACAACCAAGAAAGAAAACAGACAGGAAAAATGAAGAGTCTGACAATTGGGCCAAGATACGATGCAAGAAAACACAAGGGCCGGGGAGAGGATCCTTTGCAATGATGATGGGGCACCAATAAAAGAAGTCTGGAAACCCTCAGGGTTAGATTTAGGTATATCCCTATGTCAGACTTAAAATACTGAACATAAACAAAAATTAAATTAAAAAAAGAGTAACAGCCCACTTGTGCATTGCTTGCAAAAACAAAACCCTCATTACAGTCAGCAGGAGTGTCTGCTGGGCTGGAAATGCAGGATAGGGTTGCAAGCTTGTACTTGTGATGAAACTATGGAATGGTTCTGCATGATGAAAAACTTACCTAAGATTTGAGCAGTAAACTGCATTTTCTCTTTTGGTCTCTTTATCTTTGCTTTGCCTTCCATTCTTTCGCGAGATCCTTTGTTGAATTACTTCTCCTTTATCAAACATAAGGTGCAGACGATAACTGACTACCTTTATTATTGTGAAGAACACAGTCACAGAACTACAGTAGATGAAAACTGTCACTGCATTTGGAGGGAAAGCCTAGAGCAGAGAATAATAAAGAGTTAATGAAACAGTCAGCAATCTATCACAAGAAGATACGGCTATTTATTCACAATGTAGTAACATCTTTTTACCCATTTATTTCTTATAGTCTGATATGGCTAACACCACTAATTTTCCTAACACTTCAGAATTGTTGCATCTCCAAAGAATTTTACTATTTCAACTCATATGAAGGCTGTAAATTTCAAATTTCAAACCATTTCCTTTGGCTAGCTATGGTATATCAAATATCCTAAAAAGCAATAAAAAATTATTTATAATAGACAGTTGCTATGAGAGCTCTTAAAACATTTCCCTCTCACTCCCTGGGCTCGCAACAATAGCAAGCATTACATATACTGTGTGGATACTGTATGTATACAGACACACAGTATAATATCATTAATCTACAAACTGGCTAATTCTCCCACAAAAACTGTCAGTCTCACCACACTCCTCAGCCAAGGGTTTTAAGAGTAAAATGCTGTAATTTGATCTTCTATTATTCAGACTTCATTGCTTTTATACAAAGTACCTTTACTGGTATGCCATGAACTATTATACATACTTAGTCTTATCTAGTCAAAATAAAGGAACAAAGTATATTTTGTGATGCAGCTTTTTTTCTTTGAAAATCTTTGCAAATGTTAATTATTAGCAATGGCTCTCTCAATCATTAAAGTGAATTAGTAGAGTTTCAACCCTAGTTTGCAAAGTCCTTTCAGATCAAAGACATGATATATGCACATTTTAATGATTAAAGCCCCTGTATCAAGCAAAGAAAATCATGCAGATGGACCACTGCAGTCCTCTTTACAGGAACAGGGCTTTTCCCTTGTATTCCCTTTAGTAATTTGTAGTCTCATAGCAGATTGCAATCTTTTATTGGGAACTTTTTAGAAGTGCTTCAATGTATCACTGCACAATTTGGAGTGGTAGGGAGGCACAAGCATCCAAAGCCTGCTAAAGTCTGTGGACTTCAATGGGCTTTAGATTGGGCCCTAGATGTAGTATCAACTCAAGGGTCATTTGGACAAAAAATATTCCAATAGAAATCTTGATTTATTTCACATTGGTTTTTCAAGTAGGGAATTCAGACATTGCTAGATGACACAGCCAGGAATCTCTCTGTACACGTAGGTATGAATTTTTAGTTTTTCATTGGAGTCCAAATGGATCACACACACCACATTTTATTTCAAAAAAGTAATTTTCCCCCTTCACCTCAAAAAATCTCAATGGTTCTCTTCAAATTGTACATGCTTGATCTCTTCTGTGTTGCTGCTATAAGAGAGTGCAGCGTTACTTCTGTTCTGATGTCAGCTTAGTGTAGCACTAAAATTTCCAAGATGTTTCTGGGAAAATGTTCAGGCAAATCTTTTTTTTAAGATCCAATCTGATTCTTAAGTAAGGAGTCTATTGCATAGGAGTGGAGTAGCTATTAACAACTAGGTGTTACTGTGACAAGCGTGTTATAAATAACTAAAGATGTTAATTTCTATAAGTTGAGGCTCAGTCCAAAGTACTGAAGTGCATGGTTAACTTTAAGCACACAAGTGATTCCGCTGAAGTCAAAAGGACTATTCACATGCTTAAGTTAAGCATGTACTTCAGTACTTTACTGGATGAAGGCCAAAGAGCTCAGCAGCTTGCAGGATTGAGCCCTCAGAGAAGTAAAATTTCTGGTCATTAACGGTGGATAAAATATAATTTAAGACCATTCCTAGTGCCTGTTCTAAACAGAAATTTTTGAACATTACAGGACTCAGATCACAATGGAGGTAGCAAAAAAATCAAATAGGAATTTGTTCAAGAGAAACTGCTTCACATTTCTCTCCACGGACTCCCTCCATGCTCTAGGCCGTATTGGGAGACCTGTGGTTGTTAGACAACTCCTCACAGAACCCCATAATCCAGCTCTTCAATAGACCTGTGGAGAACCAGCCGCTCTAATAGGAATGTTTTGTAGGTGACATTCATTAAATTTCATTGGATACTGAGTATGACTATTATCAATAAGCTATCACAAAATAAACAAAGTAGCAGGCCTCATCTAACTCATCACATGCATCTATAGGCACACAGTAAGCTCTCTCCACAAGGTACCTGATGCTATCATAGGATGAAAGGATTTTGGGGGAACTACCAGACTTCTAGACAAGATGCTCTTAGGTGTGGTTAGATGAAGGCTACAAAATGTGGCTTTAAGATAAGGAGGAGGTAGATCACATAGGAATTAAATTATAGATTTACATTTGATGTGCTATAATTATAAATTTTACCATGTATTTTATTTGATAACTATTTTCCCTTCATCTCTTGAGGGTGGGATTCTACCAGGACAATGTCCCCCAGAGTCCTCTCACCACCTCAGCTTCCACTAATGTGGAAACTAGATACAAGATGGACAATACAAGTGCTTGAATGAGAACGACTGTGCTGCGATGCATCATCTCCTTTTCCAACCTGCAATTTTAGCTTCACATTTTGTTTAAACTTTTTGTAAGAGCAAACTCTTTGCAGCCTGTAATACATTGCATACTCATGCTAACCAGTATGTTTTATAGTTCTCAGACAGGTACTCTTTACAAGCATATAATCTCTATGCATCCACTAAGCATTTTTTTTTCAAACATATCAACTGATTCTAAGTCTCAAATGAAAAAGATGTGATGAGTCAAAGCTACTAGGTATTGCAGATATTTGTAAGAAAATTCATCTGCACTAGACTGGGTACATTTGGGGGGAATTTCCCCAAAATATCCAAAGAAAGTCTACAACTAACAATGAAAATTCATGTCACAGTGGGACCAGAATCTCCATTTTAAAGACTCCGGTATTCAAAGAAAACTCAGCACCTCACCAAAACAAGTGGAGAAACATAGTCATAAAGGTAATAACCATCTTTGAAGAAACCAGACTCTAAAACTTCGGACTGAAAAAGGCTTGCTTGTTATGCACTATAGGTCAGTTATTATTCCTGATTTTCCTCAAAAACAAGGGGCAGGAATCATGATGGGAAATTTGGCCAAGATAGAGTTGCTGTGAAAGCCATAATGTTGGCTTTCCTTTTTCTTTTCCAGTTAAACTCTCAACCATAATGCTAAAGTACTGTAGTTTCTCTTTTCTATGTAATATATAAGCTATATGCCTGCTAAGCACTGCGTCAGTAATTAGATAGACGTGAATATGCATAATTTTATTGTACTCCTTGGATTGCGTGTGGGTTTCTGACAAGCAAGTAATTAACATGCTAATGGAAGGCACTGAACTCCCACGTCATTTCTATCCTTTAAGAGTGCTTCCAAAGCACCACAATATAGAAAATGTAATGTCATTAAGTTTCAAGCCTTTACCATAGTGTGTTTTTTATTAATACTAGATGTATATTCCTTAATATAGAGACATCTACCCTTTTAACAAAACATGGCACGTTGGAAATTTGACAGAGAAATTAAGGTTGGTTGGTATGTCTTGATGTATTACAGAGTAAAAAGAGCCGAATTACTGAATAAACAAATATGTAATCAGCTGACATGGCCAGGCATATAACGAGAGAGCCGGAGATACTGTGAAGCTGGGGGAGAAGATAAGTATTCTGGTTTTGATATTAATTCAGCTTGAGTGATTGTCACCAACTTGCCTGAGCCCATGGGTGTCTTGCAAAGTGAGCTCACCTAGTTTTCAATAGCCCAACCAAAATCTAACTCAGGTAGGCCCACCTGGGCCTTACACTCACACAGAGTGGATCAAGAAGTCTCTCAGTGACTTACACACAAAGTTTGGTCAGCAATGGGCCACCTAGCCTGGCTTAGGGTTACCATATTTTAATTTAAAAAAAGGAGGACACTCCAGGGGCCCCGCCCCCGCCCCCTTCCCCAATGTCCCCGCCCCAACTCCGCCTCCGCCCCTGAACGCTCCGCCCCCTGCTCCTCCCCCTCCCCTGCTTCCTGCGAATCAATTGTTCACGGGAAGCCTGAAACAGGGAGGCAGCAGGTAGGCTGGGGCTGGGGCGGTGGCGGGGCGCGAGGAGGCACGGCCCAGTCCGCCCCCTCGGCAGCCGGCCGGCCCCGGCCAAGAGGCTCTGGCCCCGGCATCTTCCACCCGGCTCGGCTCGGGCCCTGGGGCGCCGGCCCTGGTTCCGACCGAGCAGCTCTGGCCCGCCCTGGCCCCGGCAGCTCCAGCCCAGCTTGGCTCGGGCCCCGGTTCCGGCCGGCCCTGGCCGAGTACTGCTGGCCGGCAGCTGAGCACCGGCGGCTCCGACCCGGCACCGGCCCCAGCAGCCCGAGCACCGCCGGCCCCAGCAGCCCGAGCACCGCCGGCCTCGGTTCCGGTTGCGGCCGAGCGGCTCCAGCCAAGCACCGCCGGCCCCAGCAACTTGGGCACCCCAAGCCCCGGTTCCGGCCGAGCACTGCCGGCCCCAGCGGCTTGGCCACCCCTGGCCCCAGTCCCAGCGGCTCCGGCCCAGCTCGGCTCAGGCCCCGGTTCCGATCGAGCGGCTCTGGCCCGACACCAACACCGGCCCTGGCCGAGCACCGCCGACCGAGCACCGCTGGCCCCAGCAGCCCGAGCACCGCCGGCCTCGGTTCCGGTTGCGGCCGAGCGGCTCCAGCCAAGCACCGCTGGCCCCAGCGACTTGGGCACCCCAAGCCCCGGTTCCGGCCGAGCACTGCCGGCCCCAGCGGCTCCAGGCCGGACCCAAGCCCCACGACCCCTCCCTCCCTATTTTCCCGGACATGTCCGGCTTTTTGGGATTTCCTCCCGGACGGGGATTTGAGGCCCAAAAAGCCGGACGTGTCCTGGAAAATCCGGACGTATGGTAACCCTAGCCTGGCTTCTTGGGATATGGTACAGGGAAGATCCTTCCTCCTGGTTCTGGCTTCACCCAGGAATGGCAGCTATATGAAAGATGCAGTGAGCCCTTTTTTTTGGCCTGCTGGGCCCTGACTGATTGCCAGCTACTCCCAGCCCTTCTAGCCACTGGAGCTCCAAGTCTC